AACGCATTGCAAGAAATGGGTCAAGAAAGTGTTCCCCACCATGTTCAGGCGTAGAGGCCCCAGAGGATCATCAATGTCATTGTTCATCTTGTTGCTACCATGGGAACCCTTTCCCAGGACCCCATGGATTGATAAAACCATAAGTTGCTTCTTCTTTAATCCTCTCCCCTCGTCGCCGTGATAGCAGACCGGAATGCACATGTCTTTGGAAAAGTTGTCGTCGGTCCGTCCACAAATCACATGGTCTGGATGAATTGCCTCGAAACGAGACCAAAATGTAGCTAATATCTTCTTCATGGCGAAAACATCCTTCTCACCAACCAAGTGCTGAAGCTGGTCATTCTCAACCAGGTATTTCAACCAGCTCGTGAATGAAACGTATGGAAAGTTCTTCTTGGATGGCAAATCTGTTCTCGATATCTTGACGTGAAGGGATTGACCAAATCTCTTGAAGACAGTATGCGCTCCAGCCTCACTCCTTTTCAAGTGAACTTTTGCCAGACTAGATAGCCCCTTCGAACTCACCCTTGTGACTCTCGCCTGCCGAATGGCGTCGCTGCAAGCGACCTCAGAACGCATAAGCTGCGACGGGTGACAGCAGCAGTGGGTATAGTGGCAGCTAGAGTCGCTAGAGAAGGTAATTAGGGGTCTGACCCTGAAAAACAACATCCGTTTTGCATGGCGTGTATAAGCATGCACCGTGCATATCTCACTGGCACCCTGCAGCCTATGCAACCCTCCAAAACCAAAGGCATAAATGCCTATAAGTTCGGATTCAATGGCCAATTGAAACACAAGCGTTCACATCGATCCACGCTGACGCAGTTGGCACCTTTCCCAAGATCTGGCTTAAATTGATTTAGCGCATGCAATTTTGCCATAGCAGACATGCACATATGGCAGTGCAAATTAGAAACTTCATCGAATTGGTTTAAATTGGTCTGCCCGAGCCCCAACAACATAAACAAAATGAAACGGTTCGTGCGCAGTAGAAGGGGGTCCCTCTCCACCAAGTTTCTGGTTTCGGCACTCCCGTTCCGAAATGTTGGCAGCAATCAGGGCAGCTTCAAGCATCTGGCATAGTCCCAAATTTGGTGAGACATGTAGCAAAGACATATGCGTGTAATTGTCTTCTTTGTAGAATTCAAATCTCAGCAAAGGGTTTGCAGTCAACCCCAACTTGAACACACAGAGTTTCTTATTCATTCGGTTTCTAAATTGGTCAACTTGGGAACGACACCTTTGAAGTATGGTGCCAGCATTGGCATTGTGCCTCAGAGGGAAAGACAAGTATGTAATGCAGATGCCATGCTGTAGGAAGTCGTGGTGCGCTTTGTCCAAGTTCTCATTCGACCCAGAGCATTCGGAATCTGAAGACCATGCTTTTCGAAGCGGCACCACACTGACCTGAATGGTAGATGAAGCCCCATGCATGCACTACATAGAACACTGCATGCATATACATATACGTGCATATGGAAAGTGCTTTTTTGGGTCGATAAAATTCAACATGAACAAACCAAAACCAAGTATCGAAAGAATAATTGTTTGGACCTGGTGGCAAGGGGGGTCTCTTTTGGGAACGAAGTTTGCACAGAGACTGTGTAGCAATGATTGCCATCTTGACCCATCTTCCGTTGAGATTTCCTAAGTTCGTCAAAACAGGCCGAGAACAAGTCTATGATTAAAAAGAATTAATTCCATTAACCATGCGCGCATGCATGCATACAAGGCATGCATCCCAAAACAAAAGCGGTTTCATTTCTATTGCAGTTCTGGGTCCGAGGGATGTTTTCCTTCAAGCATGGAGGACACCGTTTCTCCCCCGTCAATGGGCAATCATATGTAAGCAAATCCCTCAGCTCATCCATGTAGATATCATCGCTACAGGACCTCTTCACCATTGCTGCGGCCACATGCACAAACCCTCTATACATCGTTCTTAACTTGATTGGAAATGGCACCGCGGAAAGAATAGGTGCTTCTTGATTTTGGTAGGCTGGTGAGTCCCCTATGTTTGAAGCCCCACCCATCTCCAGCTGAGACCCCAACGCCATTCCCGACCATTCGTGCAAATCCATGCAGTTCAGGTTCTGGACCTGCCATGGCCATGTGGACGCTTGTGGAGGCTTGGGGCCGAGAGATGTTTCAAAGGATCTGTCATGTTAAGTTGGGCTTTTAATGGTTTTGAAGGTGCGGTGCGATCCAATAGTTGATCTACTTCAACCAACTTGTCGAGGTGATCGATCAACCCCATGGCCGGGTACATGCGTGTATTGCATGCCCTCACATGCATGCAGCACATATTGCCCTATATTTTCGCATCCGAAGCATGTCCATAGTGTCACGGACTTGCACCACTCTATAGCTACCTGCTCGCAAGTGGCCCTTTCAAGCCTAAACACAAGCAGGAGCTGCATGGCACAGTCAGCTGACTATTCACATTGGGTTTGCCATCAAAATTGTTGGACCTGTGAACCATGTACAAAACATGGACCTACCCACACATGTGCGTGGACACACACACACACATGTGCCCCTCACTGCTCATGCAGTGCTGATTGAAGAAATGTAGCGCACCATATGTGCATCGCTAGCAAAGATCATGACTCAGCTTCAGCTTCAGCATCCTTCTTCTTCTTCTTCAGGGACTTCTCCAAAGCCCTTGGGGCCATGTTGGCACAACCGTGCATGCATGTTACTATAACCACTTAAGACAGGTTGAGAGCGCACCAAAGGATCCCTTTTGCATCCTCTCAGCCTGTGTTGGAATGAGCAACTTTGTTTCCTGACTACATTGTATGACGTCAAAGTTTCCACCCCAAAAATGCTCAACCCCATGCATGCATGCATGCATGCATGGTATGTGCGTGCATGCATGCAAAAATAAAGAAGCTCAAATGCACGCAGGCGAGATTCTTTGCTTGAGCTTCGGCAGATGCAAGTGCGGAAGCCCTTGGTCGCAGCACGCGTTGTTTGTGGGAAGCGTCATCAATCAGCCCCCCGAAACAAAAACAAAGTTGACCCAGTCAGTTGCACATGCATTGAAGTCTTTTGTGTTGAGCTCCCAAGTCTCTCAAGTCTCGATTTGTAAAAGGCGGTTCTGGGCGGCATCATTTTTTGCATGCAGCATGAATTGAAAGCATCCATGGTGCGCACCCATACTAGTCAGCACATGCATTCAACATCCTACAGCGGCCTTAAATGCATGATTAGAGGCTTCTCCATCGCCACACGCATTGAGGCCTTGATCTTCTTGATATTCCTAGGCATCGATCGATGCATGTCATGCAGGGTTGGAGGACGAATAAACATGCAGTTAACATCCATGTGTGAATCATCGAGACATTGTAGTGTGGCAGCTCAATACAACAGGCTCCAGGACACAGGAAGCAGAATTGACATAGAAATATGTCTTCATGTTCCGAGAGTTCTTTCAACCAGGTTTCTCATCGTCCCTCGAATTGACTGAAGACTTCACAGCCATGAACTCATCGTAGGCCTCCTGAGCGGCGCCCAGCTTGGTTTCCAAGGCCTGAATGCACCTGGGGCGCACGGATGGGAATGCTCGAAATGGTTTGGGGTCATGCCCTATGAAACATTGTGCAACATGATACATGCAGAAAATGCATGTTGAAAGGTTTAGAAGCTTAGTCTAGCACTTTTGGACTCGGTCTTTGTCCACCCCGTTGGAGAAGGAGTCCAGCTTGGAAATGAGGTCGGTGATCTTTGACATCTTGGTCAGCATTCCATCGGCAAACTTATCCTCAACTTCCAACTCCTTATCTCTTGCCATGGCAAATCTGCATGGCTGATAAAGTCAAATGCCAAACCATATTAGATATCATTGACCAGCATTCAGAACATGCATGCCCACTACTCAAGCGTGTCCATTGTGCTTCGGGCAAGTCTCTCCCTCAGCAGGCGTTTGAACAGTGCCTTCCTTTTCACCACCAGGCTCACTGCAAGTTGGCTGGAACCAGTCGTTTGCAAGCTCCACACCACTTTCAGCCTGCACACCAGCATGCGTACGTTCAATATGGGTTCATGCATCACGCGCGCAGGCGCATTATGAACGCACTAGCTGATAAGGTTAATTTGAGGGAGGAAGACAATTTTCCAGAACTGAACTCATGCATGTATGTGTTTCTTTGGCATGCAAAGATGAAAACAAACATAATATTGTGCATGCCTATACGCACGCCTTCATGCAAGCGAGCATGCATGCATCTCACCGTGCACACAGCTTTACTTCATCCATGCAAGATGCAAACATGACCAGTTCTTGTGGAACAAATTCAATTAGCGCACATGATGGACAACGCGCATGGGTGCATATCTCCTATATCTCAAACAATGCAGGAAGATTATGTGTTTTTTTGGGATTGTTGGTTCAATTGGTCTGGGCTACCAGCTGGAGCTAGTGGGTTGCACAAAGAACGTCAATGAAAGGTCTGCAATATTTGAAGCCTGGCCTCCTCTGTAGATTGGTGCTGATGAGACTCAGTCCGGGAATGCTTGGTGGATTCCTTGTCGGAGTATTCCACAAAGTAGCGCATCACCTTCTCATTGTACTTGTCTGGCCTAAAGGTTTTGCGCGCAAGTCACGCACACGTGCAAATATGCACGCATGCATGCATGCTGGATACTGCAATGGCAACACGTCTCACGTACACTTAAGGGCTACCATCTTGCAGCTTTCTTTTACCTCATGCATGTTACATAACATTCCATATCTTTGATCGCCCAATGCGACCAAAGGCTCTTCACCAATCCGTGCTTTTTGCAATAGGCGACTACATCCTTGATGTAGCTCCTTAATCGAGAGCTCGTAGGTTGAGACTGCCTGTGAACAGTTCTTGCATGCCTGGTCTAAGGGTTTTATAGCTAGCTTACTCAATCAAAAGGCTAGGGTAATTTATATAGGGACAGACTGCGTGTGAATTACACAAACAATGTCGATAAGACGTTGCTGGAAGTTTATGCTGGGGTATGATCAACCAGAAGCAGCAATGTTGGCATCAGTGCTCGCAAGCATTCAGTGCCACAATGTGGGTTGAACTGGTCTATGGCTCGACGGCTCGACCCAGAATGAAAGGGTATATGCATGCCCAAGAAGAGGCAAAAGGACATGAAGCCACGGAAGCTGGCAGCAAGCCTGCAAACAAGTCCTTCGCACTATCAGGAACAAGCTCAAGGTGAACAGAAACACGATCTCAAGGTTTATCAGGAGCCTATGGATCAGACCAAGTTGCAGGATGTGCGAACAATGGCAACTAAGCCATTCTGGCTTTGATGGGTCACCGCAGAGAGTGTATTTGCATGTTCGAAGGCTGCTATATATACTGCGTGAGTATAGAAATTGCAACTATAAGCAATAATTTCATATATTCATCGATGCATGCATTAATCAGTTAGTTTCCATACCGAATCCGTTTAATCCACCACTTTGCAGAGCCACACACTACTATGCAACCAAGTATCGCACTCCACTTGAGCTCAGTTTTCATCATCTCCACGGTAAACCAGCCCTTCAAGACCTCCTGTGACTCTTCCTTGCGCTGATCGATCAGCTTGGTCACCTTGCACACAAGCATCTCCTGCGTTGCACGTGTGGGCGAAGTACTGCGTGGGAACGCTTTTATATAGGCACACATTGCTGCACAAACCAAACCTATATAGCTTATATAACACTAAGGGTTTCAACTATACACCTATCACACTGCATTCATGTGTTCTTTCATTCAATCTAAGCTGCAGTTCCAAAATAAATGATCCATGCATGGGCTCTATGTATATATGTGTGGGTAAAGCATAGCGTGCAATATAATGACTCGATATCTGCAAACCTGCCTCAATTAAACTCATGAATTGATGCATGCATATACTAAACATGGAACAGTGGCTCGATCCTTGTCAAAATCATTTTGCTCCAACATGGCTCGAAGTTCATCCCGTGATTTCCCTCCCTGAACCCACTGCTCATGGATTGACAGGGGCACGTTGAGCTTGCCACTGGGTTTTCTCTCGCATAGACGGCGCAACCTAGCATCCACCTTCTTGTATAATTGCAGGGCTGAGCGGTGATCATCATCTGCTTCCGGCACGTCCACGTCCACCTATAGGATGACACAGATTCAGCACTTCTAGCCACATGGGATTTGGACAGGTGATTGAAACACATTCATATGATTATAATTAAATTTGAAGTTGGATTGGTTTCCTCTAAGGAAAACAACAGTACATGGCAAGCACCCTTAAATAAAAGACCAGGCCTCTTTTGCGCTAGACTTTGGAGTGGTGGCTGAAGAGGGACTCGAACGGGCCATAGATTTAGCTGCTGACAGTGGGGGTCTCGGCTTGGTTCCGGCAACACTTGGGGATGGAGTGGCAGGCTGACTCTTCTTTTGCAAGTCGGAGATCAGGGCCAGAGCTTGATCAAGGCGAGTCTGGAGGTCACTGGCAGATGGCTCCTGCAATCCAATGGTTGCAACCCAAGCAGCCTTCTCATTTCGGTTTGGTGGACTTGCGTGCACATTTATGATGGCTGCATGTGCAATGGGGCCTGTATATATTTAGGAGGCATTGGTGAAATCAACTTAATGAACATCATCGTATTGACAAAAGGTTCACCATTATCACAAGAACGATGCGTGCGTATGCGCATACACGTGCCATGCAAACTATAGGTTTTTTTCAGCCTGCAAACTTGAAACATTGGATGATAAACACTTTGCCGGTGAAAACTGCTATTGGGATCCATGCTGATGGATCAGCTTAGTCTGTAAACTTAAGATATTGAACTAAACCCACACACAGGCAGAAGAACCCGATCCTCAGCCGTCGCACCGCTCCCACCATCACTCGCTGCAGCACTTGGAGCAGGTGTGGCCACCGCTTGGACAGTGCCCTGTCGAAGGTCAGCCTGCGCAGGACGCGGGATGTGCAGACAGGGCCATTGCTGCTTTGTTACAACTTGCCATTGGTCCAGGCATGGCACATACACCTAAAGCCCCATCAATCCCCTATGAAACTACAATAAATTCATATATAAATCAAGTTCATCCATTCCACAGGGAGATTTTTGAACATGCAAATATAGACTTGGTTACACATCACCGCCTGGTCGGCACCATTCTTTGCTTTCTTGGGAAATGACGCTAACTGCTTCACCGGTGTGGTCTTAGTCGACGGTGGAGGAGCACGCTTCTGGGAGGCATGCAATTCCTCTTCAGTCGCCTGAGGTCACCAGATATATATATGAATGCATCCATGTGTACCGCACCTTCTTTGAAATACATTCAATGGTTCACATGCAAGCTAGAGAAAACCATTTGCGGACACGATGCTGGCTGTGTCTCAAGTTCCTCAACTTCAAATTGAGAAAGCCAAATAGCAGTTGTTTCTCAACAAGAGGCTTTTTGGTTTTGAGCCTTTTCACCTACATAGAAATGAACGCGTAGAGTTGATTGGTTGGCTCCAGGCAAGGTGCTGATAAAGCAGCAGCTTCCATTTGGTTGAGTTCCTCCAACTCCCGCCGCATGGCCTGTTGCAACATAGGCATGGACCGTATCCCCTGAACTCAGATAGCTCTATTGCCATTTACATGCACGCAATGAGTGGTTCATGTTATATGCTTCATGCATGGCATTGAAAATCATTGAAGATATCTTGCACGCATAATACATGCACATGCATACATGTGCCATGCAGCTTGCACCACTCTAAAGCTTTGGTTTTTTGATTCCAATGACAGCTAGTTAACACAAGTTGAGAAGTCACATGTCAAATGCTTTGGAAAGAACGCTGCAAATCAACACCGCTCAATTCCGACACCCGGCCCTCCTCCTTCTTCAATTGCAACTCCTTGATACGATCCGCTTTATCGCCAGGCTCTTGCTTGATCATCAACAAGGCATTGTTGCCAGAGGCCAGCGAACCGCAGCTTCGGATTTTGGACATGGGTGGAAGGATAGCCCGGCAGGGGTGGGGCAGGGACAACAACCTGGGCGCTTACCTCACTGAGTCTTTCCAAGGTTTGAACCAGTGTTTCCACAAGAAAGAACATGAATGCATTGCTGCGCCATGCCAGTAAAAGCAACAGGAATTTAAGCAATGTGAAACATTGCGCAATGGATTTCATACAGACATGAGGAGCTCCATTAATATATAACTCCATGCATGCATTCAATTCCTTTTCAATGCTGTGAATTTGAATAAGATCACTCTCGAGACACACACGGTCTGACCCAAGTGTTCACAAACCAGGCTCTCACCAACCAAAGTTGTCCAAAACCTGGCAAAATCGCATTTGGCAGTCTACGCCTAAAACACGTAAAATTACGTAGAATTCTACGGGTAAATATGGGTTGTCCACGGGGTATTTACGGGTTGTCCACGGGTCTACACTTTTTTATGGGTTATCCACGGGTGAAAACCTGGTTTTAAAACATTGGGTTCAGAACCATGTGAAATTGGCTTTGCTTAAGCTCGATTTTGTGAGATTTGGGCTCGTACGTAGATCGAGCTGTCCTAAAAGTCTTCAGGGAGCAAATGTGGTTTCCACTTTGCCGGAATCTCAAGGGACTTGTTGCCCCTGATGTATCTAAGAACCTCCGGAGCCCCGGCATCCTCCCACATGTCGTCAAAGGATTCGGCCATGTAGCTCTTGAGAGGGTTGTACCTCCGCGGCATTTGATCGAAGGTCTTGCATCCATCTGCCTGCAATTTAGGCAGGATCCTCAGCACTCGAAGGCCAAAGCGGTAGGGATAATGCCTTAGTTGGCAAAGGGGGCCATGAATGCAGGGACCTTCCATTTGTGTGGCAACCCTGACCCAAACCCAGTTTCCAGTATTCAAAAAGCTTTTGAACCCGTACTCTAAGTTTGAAATCCTCAAGTATCACCAAAAGTCCCTTAATGTAAAGCGCTTCCTTTCCCAAACCACAGTTGTAGCATTCTCAGGAAATGGTCTTCACGCAGGGATGTTGTCGCTGACCACAAGCACCGCAAATACAAATGGTTCTTGAAGGAAGTGAGGTAAGCCACATAGCTACTGGCTTGTTGTGGTACACTTCCTCTAGCTATAAGTCCTGGCATATGACCCACACCCCACACCCCAAGAAGCACGCGCAAACAAACTACAATAGGACAGCCGAGTCCTTCCACGCATGATTATACATGCTGCGCCTGCATTTGGGGGTCAACTGCTTCAACCCTTCTTGATGTGAAATCCCCGGTGAAACCCAGCCACTGAAAAAAAAAACTTTGAGCCATGCTGATGCTGGTCTAAAGGGTGGATGTTCGACAAAAGCACCAAACACATAACAACACCCCATCAATGGTCCAGGCGCTGGCTTTCTTTCAGCTGCTTTCGCTGCCCACTGAACTGTTTCTTACCAGTTGTTTTGTTGATGGTCACCTTCGCCGTCTTGTGTTGTTGGTATTCAGGTGCTTTGTAATTAAACCGGGACAGCTTCCCTAGGTCAAGCCATCCGATAGCTCGACTGTTTGACCACGCAATATGCCTCTTAGGTGTCTTGGACGAATAGTGCGCCATCCACCATCGTGCGGCCCAGGCCTCGGTTCCGGGCAGGGCAAAAGTTCAAAAGGGGACAATATGTGTTCACCTATGGTGAATGGGCTGAAAGGGTTACATGTCAATTGCTCCCATGCAGTAGCCCATCTGGGACCCAAAAGCACCCTTTTCAAGCAATGTTTCTTTCGGAGCTCCCACCGGAATTTCAGGTCATGAGGACATATTACAGCTCAATGCAAGCTGAACATCTTGCATAAGTTCCTGCGTGTATTTATATAGTGCAAGCTAGCTTGCTAGAGTTATTAGATTTGACCCGTCTGACACTTTTCAGAGGGCGCTTTGTGGCACCAAACCTCCAAGAATACCAGGATTGTTTCTGAGACTATATCCACCATGCACCAAAAGGATTGTAACAAGGGATCCCATGTATTATATATATTGAACAAGGGTTCGACTCATTATGTGTAGAAACTCCAGCAGTATCACACATGCATGCGCGTTCCACCCAGATAGGAGCGCTTAAGTCCACCGGACTCAAACACTCCGACCTTCATGCTTCCAATCCCTTCTGCAGCTGCCCGGAAGCCAGGAATGCTTGAGGCTGGAGTGCTTATAAGTCCTGTAAGTCCCTGGTCCCAAGCCCCCTGGATCGAAACAGGTAAATGTTAAGTCAGGAGCGCTTAACCCACTTAAGTCCGGTGACTCCCAGGGTCAGAGTGCTTATGTCAGGTGGACTTAAGTGCTCCTGCCTTCTGGGCAGCACAGCGGGGTGTCAGTGCTGCAGAAGCGGGATGTCTGAGGTAGAACATCTCTGTTGGGCAGATCCTCTGGAGTTTTTACCTGGCTGAGCATTCCGACAGCCAGCTAAAAGCTCCACAGATTTCCCTGACAACGGTTGACAATACGGGGATCGAAATGTTGGTTTTCGACAATGTAATTAACCAAGCAAAGGGATCAACGCAATGAACCAAGCAGAGGGATCGTGCATCCATATTGGATCTTGGGACCCTCAAAACCCTTGCTTACGCTACCACACCGGGAGCTCTGATAAGTTCCACCCAGGCCCATACATGACAAGTCCTGAAGCCCAGATTTCTTTGGGCAGTCCCAGATGTCCTTCGCAAATCCCCGAACCAGGTGAAAGGGATGCTGTTGGTGCCAAGCACGCTATGCATGCATGCATGCACCCTTACAGCGCATTCCCTACCAACAGCTGTAGCTCATATAAGGAAAAAAACAAAAGACTCTTTGTACAATTGGAACCATGACACCTTGAAGTTTCGAAATGCCTCCATTACACGGGGGTGATACCGCAATAGCGACAACGATGGTTGCTCCACGATCCAGCACCCAGACATCGCTTCGACCAGGTAGAGCAGAAGAGCTAACCTGAGCAATGGAGAAAGGCGCTTCTCCAGGGATTTTTTTTGGGGGGGTGGATATTGAGGGGAGACCGATGATTTAAGGGAAACCATGGGAAGCCATTAAGTATAGTGATCAGAAAAGAGTTGGACAACATGAAAGTTAAACTTTGCATGTTTTCCAAAGCACCTTGACGCCATCTCATTGGCCTTTTGTACATAGACCCGCTCTGGACAACCCAATGGTGTGCACACGCTTCGTCCACTGGTGCCCATATTGATGGTAGTCCAAGAAGAACACACTATGGCGCATAGAACTGTGAACTGTCCATGTTTTCCGTTCAGAATGGTCGCCAAGGCCAACCTTGGCTTGGGGACTAGCTTGGACTGAAACTCGACAAGCGTGCATTTGGTGGTTCATCGTCTTTCATTGGCGCAGCATCGCCAAAAACTATATTGTTGCATGCGTGCATGTACCATAAACAAAGATCCAGATCATTTCCAAGACACAGAAACCCTGATGAGGTGAGAATGTCAAAATGGTTTGACCTATGAGGGTGCTCCGGGTCTGGATGGAAATACTCAATATCCAAGGCCGCAGCAGCCCGGCCAGACTTCTGAATCATTGTTGTAGTCAAAGCTCGGCCAGCCCAAAGCTCCACAAAGTCATAGGACTGACAGCAGTCGGCCGGTTATATAGCGCACGTATGCAAAGGATCACAAACACATGCAGTCGACAGGGAACTTGCGTGCAAATTGTTCTTAAGAACACATACGTTTTGTTGAGTGCTCTACGATATGTCACTGCACATCCCGGACTAGCTATTTTTGGGTGTCCCAGTTTCAACCATGCAGTGATATTCTTGCATACATGCATGAAAACATGTTCCTGTGAGACAAGTCGTCCATGTCCCTTCTCCAACCTCCGTCAGGGTCTTCACATTCGAGGACCAAAGCAGCATCAAAACCATTGCCATCAAGACCTCGATTGGTTGGAAGGTTGGGGACCCAAAGGAAGAGGATTGAACGTATCAATCAACTCGTCATCCTTGCGTTTAGTTCAAATTGAGAGATATGGGAAAGACAGGAAACTGAACAAATTACCCTCCTCCTCCAATATGTACGCATGAAGGTAAGTTGCGGGTGGGATTTGCGGGTAATATAGAGCCGGCTTCTCAAACCACAAGTATATGCACACATGCTGCTACTGTAGTTAAGATTTTGCAAGCCACATGTGTGGGGTGCAATTCAAGTAAGACTTGAACGCATGCATGCTCAAGCTAACCATGCATCCTTCACAAAGCCCAGGAACCACTGTTTGCATGCGTGAATTAATGAATGAATGGGGCTCTCAGGGTCTGACCTTCGGGGCGCCAACCAACTGCAATCGAAACAGCAGTTGTGGAAGGGTCAGGGGGCTACACACCATAGCTGCAGCAAAGACCAGTGCCTTAAGAGTCACGGCTTTGAAGACTTAAATGAATTAACGCCTCAATGAGACACGAGCCAAATGTTGCATCGCAGAGTTCAGTGTTCCATTTTGCTGGATCAAGACCAGCATCCACGCGCATGCATGCATCCAAGTCTTCAGGATGGAAATACATGTTATTCCAATCCTAGAGGTCTCTTAAATCTTGACCGATGTACTAGCTGCATGCATATTGTTGGTTTGTTCTCTTATATATATGCATGAAAACATATATGCATGCATCATCCATCAACATACTCCCAATTATGTGGATAATTTCCTCAAAAGGTTGAGTTGTTCCCTGAATAGCTTTCCTGTAATCGCTTTAATCTCGCCAGCTCTACCATCCCCATCTTCTGCAGCACTTTCAAGCCTGACTTGCCAGGCTTTCCGCTTTCCCATAGAAGACCTCAGGACAGGCAAACGGGGAAGCTGCGACATGGGCAAGCAGGGCGAAAGGTGCACTGTGTGGAGCGAAGTGGCACACCTTCCAGCTATAAAGGAACATGGGCAAACATATTCCACCATTATCATTAACTACAGTTCATGGATGATCGCAAATAGCGATTGGGATGTTTCAACTAACCCTGGCGCCGCACAAACTCCCTTTTCTCGCCAGATTGGAAGTTGCAGGTTTATGGTTCACAAAGCAAATGGATGCTGTTAAGCCCGATTGGAAGTAAGCTGCTGCATACCAACACGCAATTGATGGCCAGCGCAAAGGTTTCAAAGACATGTTGGAAACACTCTAGTCTTTCTATGAACATGTTTGCCCCTGTTGTTAAAATCAAATCTCTGTGATTGGATAGAGGTATACGCGTGTTTAAACCCAAAAAATCGAGTATGGTATGCATGTAAAACATGTTTGATACAGAATTGACACCCCTTGCACACGGCCCTAGCAATTGGTGACCCCCTCTTGCAGCAGCCTAATTGTATATACCATTGCCTTGGACGCCAATCCCGCAACGTGATAATATGCGAGACGCTTTCTCAACCCTCAGCTTCCACCATGCACCACACTGGGAGAAACAAGGACAGCTAGTGCATGTGACAAATCTACCCATAAAGGTAATGCTGGCAAAGATATATAAGTGCACGCACGCAGGCATGCATTATGCATTATATATGTTGCATTTCTTAATTCCACCGCTTTTAGGTCATGAACTAATACTTCAGAGCTCAGAATTGCTGTGCCTGTATAAATTAAGACATACTTGGTTTGCCGGATGCATGGCTAAAGGAAGCAATAATGAGATGCTTCAAAATTTGACTTCACTGGGCATAGTCGCTCAATAGTCACTTAGGGATTTTCCCACAGCATGAGCGATGGAAACACCAATGACAAGCTCAATCAATGCAGTTTTCAGCGCCACAACCTCCTCAGACTCCAAGTCTTTGCACTGTGTGGCCGGCTTGTCCCCACCAACAAACTCCACCTGAGCGAAAGTCAAGAATATAGAAGGGAGCACCCTGCAGGTATAGCGGGTTCCAAACATATAGCATCACAGCACTTGAATGTCTTTCAGCACTATATAGATAGGATGCAGGCACCCAAAAAGAGATCACTAGAATTGTACTGATATCTCATCAGCCCAAGCTTACGTAATCAATCAATTGTAAACCAAATTAAGGTAGCATGCATGCATGGCATAGCTTGATTGAACAATGTTGCAACCAAACATAACAATATGCAAAATAATGCACATACTGTTTGCGCAAAAGATTTGAACATGCACGCGTACATGTTTTTATGTTACAGTAAAGCGTTTGTGAAATCACAGTGTGCGCTGCAACTACACTTGCATCAACCCTTTCGTTGATTCTGCGGGCAGGCTTTAGATCATGCATAGTATCATGCACGTATGCAATTTGCTGAAATATGCTGAAATCATTTCAAAAATGAGGTTCTGACGAAGCAGAGACATGCAGCCATAGGAATGCCAATGTGGCTGCACACTTGCCCGCCACTGAAACTGCACACATGAGTCTTCTTCTTCCCTGAGCCCGTGCGCTGAAGCAATCCCACACGACGTGCCTCCCAATACATGCTGAAGCCCCAATGATCCATCTTGCGTGCCCAATTGCGCTCCGGGACCTTTGCGGCATCGAACATCTTCTCAGCAAAGAACAGGGCTGCTGGATCGTTCTTCGCTTCCCTCAAAATGTTCTGCGCCATTTCAATCTGGGCTTCATGTGGTGGGATAGGTTGACCCTTGGGTTTCTCAACCTTTGGCTTTTCAGTAGCATCTGCAACAGATGCACTTGGCTTGTCAGTCGACTTGTCATTCTCTGACACCTCGTTTTTCTTTGGGGTCTTTTGCGCACGCTTGGCCCTCTTCGGTTTTTTTCTCTTTCACAGGTGGGGAGGCTGCAGGCACTGCGATGTCCTTTGCCTGTTCATCAGCATCCGAATCATGGAAAAGTTTCCGACGTTCTGGGGTGCACATTGTTGCCCTCTTGGATGACGCTGCCTCCATTGCAACGTCACCCTGATCGCTTGGTTCAGGCACCTCTTCGGGGGGATGTGAAGCTTTGGCCTTGGCCCGGCCGCCCTTTCTCCCACCCCGTCCACGCCCTCGTCCCCCTCCTCTGCCAGAACCCTTCTCACCATTCTTCTTGTCCTCCTTTTCCTTGGCAGCCAAACCCAGCTGATCTCGACGGGTGAGAACCTGAGGCGGAGAATTGAAACATATAGATCAAAACATATCAAAACCATGTTTGATGCATGCATGCATGCATGCATGCATGCATGCCTGCCATATAGAATTTGGAAGACATGTTTGCCTGCATAGCAACGCACACATGCAAGAATAAAACAGGCACATGCATGGTGTGTTGCTTCCTCTTCGCGTGAGAATTGCACATGGTTTTGACAGTTGTTGAAGTTCACACCCCCTCTATGAACCTGCGCTAGATTGAAAACTGACCATCGTTCCAATCCAAATCTTTTAAAGTTGAAATGTCAAAAACAAACATGACTGTTAGCAAGAACGCCAAAGGAACCTGATTCTCAACCTTTTCTTCAGTGCCCTTTTCGGAAGACACCTCCTTGACTTCTTTGCTGACCAAGCCATCTTCAGGCAGGTGTGGCTTCCGGTTACCCGCGTCAATTTCCTCCTCCTTGAGGAGAAGCACCCCCACACCAGCTGGCAAGGCAGTTCCACAATCCATCGCTAGAGTCTGGTCATGATCACGACCATAGGGTAGGGAGTCCGAAACAACCCAAGGCTCATTGTGTTGACTGCTGCTGCCCGCGGACCTGACAAGATCACCTTTGGGAGCATCTTCAGCTGACCTCAGTGAGCACAAAATTTTGTGGAGTTTGGATCCAGGGATGGTGCTGTGGCTTAAAACGCACTTCACTTCACTGACTTTTGCAGCACATATATGCATAGAATCATAACTTGCCACCTTAACATCAATACTGTGAACATGCATACA